TTAATTTTCAGCATTTGATATAAGTACTAATCATCGCATTTCAATGAAACTTGGTACATAGATACTTTAGGACTATGCAGAGACTGATTAGTTTTAGGGTAAATAATTGTGCATATTAATTAACTAATTTGCATAATTAACCAACTTTCACACTGATATCTCAGGTACTAAACATCACATATCAATGAATGTACATGGATGCTGTAGGACAATAATAGACAGACCTGGATAATTGTGGGTTAAAATCTGTACATATTAATTACCTAATTTGCATAATTAACCAATTTTAAACTTTCACACTGATATCTAAAGTACTAATTATTCCATTTCAATGAAACTTAGTACAAAGATTCTCTAGGACAATGTACAAACCTAATTAGTTTGGGGTAAAAATCTGTTCATATTAATTCCCTAATAAGCATAATTCATAATTTTTTTGTTCTAATCACATTTCAATTAAACTTGGAAACATAGATTTTCTGTTACATTACGCAGACCTTTTACACTCAAATCTGCTCATATTAATTTTCTGATTTGCATAATTAGTTTTCAGCTAAGTAATTTCGAATTATATTTAATGTGTCCAATACTCTCAGCACATGGGAGTTCTTTCTAAGCTTTCTTTGATTTGTACTTGCAATTGCTGACTGTCACGTATGAACATTTGACACACATGCACCAAAAGCGTGCCACATTGTTGGTCTCCATCAAGCTCGATGATGACTTGCACATTCAGTGATTAATTCTCATGAATCATGTAAAACTAAAAAGCACTGCTAACATAATAAGATGCAAAATAAATAAAACTAGCAAAATACAATATTACACCAAGACAGTGTTAATAATTGAATGATACCTAACTTGTATATTACATACAAAGAGAGTATTGAATGATAACTTGTATATTACATACAAAGACAGTACTGAATATAACATATATTATACATACAAAGACAGTATTGAATGATAACTTGTATATTACATACAAAGCCAGTACTGAATATAACACGTATTATACATACAAAGACAGTACTGAATAACTTGTATATTACATACAAAGACAGTATTGAATGATAACTTGTATATTACATACAAATCTTGACAGTACTGAATATAACACGTATTATACATACAGAGAGTATTGAATGATAATTTGTATATTACATACAAACAGTATTGAATGATAACTTGTATATTACATACAAAGACAGTACTGAATATAACACGTATTATACATACAAAGACAGTATTGAATGATAACTTGTATATTACATACAAAGACAGTACTGAATATAACACGTATTATACATACAAAGACAGTATTGAATGATAACTTGTATATTACATACAAAGACAACATTGAATGATAACTTGTATATTACATACAAAGACAGTATTGAATGATAACTTGTATATTACATACAAAGACAGTATTGAATGATAACTTGTATATTACATACAAAGACAGCATTGAATGATAACTTGTATATTACATACAAAGACAGCACTGAATGAAAACTTGGATATTACATACAAAGACAGTATTGAATGATAACTTGTATATTACATACAAAGACAGTATTGAATTATAACGTGTATAATACATACAAAGACAGCATTGAATGATAACTTGTACATTACATACAAAGACAGTATTGAATTATAACGTGTATATTACATACAAAGACAGTATTGAATGAAAACTTGTATATTACATACAAAGACAGCATTGAATGATAACTTGTATATTACATACAAAGACAGCACTGAATGAAAACTTGGATATTACATACAAAGACAGTATTGAATGATAACTTGTACATTACATACAAAGACAGTATTGAATTATAACTTGTATATTACATACAAAGACAGTATTGAATAATAACTTGTATATTACATACAAAGACAGTATTGAATGATAACTTGTATATTACATACAAAGACAGTATTGAATGATAACTTGGATATTACCGTACATAAAAAGACAGTACACATGAAGACAGTTTTGATGACTTGTATATTATACATGAAAAACAAACAAGCGACAGTTTGCAAGCCTAATATATTATATCTCCACACTTTTGATGTACAGCATGTAATATGTCTATAAACAAATTAGGTTTTCTGTCTATCGCTGTTGTAAAATTTTATCTTGGCTGTGAAATTTTTTTTCTTGTTCACACGTTGAAATTGAGTACTAAAAGTTAGAAATGTGGCCATATTTTTTTCTTGTGTCTTTTTTGTCTAATATGTTTTTATTTGAATAAATCTCTCCCTCACAGAATACTTTCGCCTATGTGAGCGATGAAATTATTTCCATCACCCGCACATGCAGCTTCCCTTTTCCATGCACAGAATCTGAGATCATCCTCTTTGGAACCGGTAAATATTTAGTTTCTGTATTTGTTGCTGCTCTAATGTCATTATCTCATGTGGCAAAAGTTTACAAGCCATTGTCATAATATGCCTGTTAGTGCATTATTTAATCTTAAGGGAGATGTCATGGAGTAGCTGTTGTAGAAAATATATAACACAATATAGGGATGAAACGAGAGCAAGTTACTGACTTGCATTTATAACAAAAAAATATTGAAAATTATATTGTGTATTGTGCCCATGGCAACAAGAGTTTCTGTTCAAAATGATGTAGATTATAAATGTATTGGTAGTGTATTAATCTCAGAGTCGTTTATCATTTAGAATAGATTTCTCAGAAAGAGACTACACTATTTATGCCACAGGGGAGCTTATTTACTGAAGGGCATACTAGACTTATTAGGACGATGTATTCTGTACTGTGTTTTCATTGGCTCACATGCAGTGTGCCCTCTAATAGGACTGATTTTGTAGGAATTCAGAGTTAGAATAGAATATTCCAAAATCAAGTTGAGTAAGCATGCTGGGAAGATCGGTCTTTATGAAAAAATTTAAATTGTACGGTACATGTTGCAATTACAAGCTAGGCACAAGTAAAAAAAATTGTATTTGTATAATACATTAATTTTGTTTATAAAATGTGAATTTTATTTTACTAAATTGAAAATTCCATTGCTATAGCAAGATGTTTTTTTAAGAACACTGAATGATTTTATGTTGCATCAATGATGTGCCAGTGAATAGACATGTTTGCGTTCAATGCAAAATCCCATGTTATGTGTGAAATTAAACATAAAAATAGGATAAACAAAGGTCATAGTCTTAAAGTGGTGTCATACATTGCATAGAATTTGACAAATGGGAAAGTATTTTAGAGGTATTTCCATGCAAATACATGTAATATATATTGATGATGGTCAATTGTGATGAAGTAAGGGAATCATATTCCCATCTGACATTGAATTCAAACTATGAAAAGGAAATTAAAAAAATCAAATTACTATAATCTTTAATCATACAGACATTCGGTTCAGGCCTTTTACGCATTACATGAGATCTTGCAGTGATAAATCTCCAAAATATTTGTGTATCAATAGTACCGGTACATTATATTAGCTAAGAGGGCACACTGGTCACATGTTCATGTTTAAGCAGCATATGACATCATAGGTTATTTATATTTATAGGAGCGAAGACAACATGCTGTGAAACAGATAAATGCAATGTTGAAAGTGGAGCTGCCCATGATATTGTCTCATTCATTACTATAGTAACCTCAGTTGCTTTCGCCATATTGTTTGTTTAGCATGAGAAGGAACCATTAGTAGCTGGTGTTATATATACTTGCATGTTTTATAATTGTATCTCATGTAATTATTAGTCATTAAAAGATTTTTTTAAAGAAGTATGATGTACACATGTGAGGGTGCTTTTTCAATTTCCTGTTTCAGTAAAAAGTTATTTTGATTCATTCATTGTCAAAATAAATCTGTTATGTGTCACTAAAATATCATTAAAGCGTCAATATGCGAGTGAAAATGATATTTTTGTCTGTTCTTGACAATGCATTGACCAATTTTATTTAAACTTTATATGATGTAAAACATGTCTTTTTCGTGATTCAAGATGTTGCTAATGACTATTTAAATTCAAAATGGCCAAGGCTTAGGGATTTGTATATAGTAGTCCGGAACATAAAAATCTGGGGCACTTCTTAATTACACTTGACACTTTTTATGGAGGTGATAACTGCCCATTTGTTTTGGAACGCCATAGAAAAGTATTGTGAAAACAGGAAATCAACAATGACAAGGGAGATTCACTAAATCAACATTTCGCTATTACGTCATTTTACCACGATTCGCTAAAATTGCATGTCGCTTTTTCAACATGTTTTACAGTGTTAATATACATGTTTTACAGTGTTACATAATGATAGACACAATTTCTAAATCAAAGTATATTAATTGTGTCTTTGGTCGAAAAAATAGGGTTAAAACGATGTTCTCAGCAATTATATTCAAACTTCACATACAAGGGATGCACAATACATCACATTTTAGGTCAAAATACATAATTTTGTTTGTCAACAAATAAGGTGAAAATGTGTGTATATATATATATATATATTTGACCAATTATATGATGAATTCTCATATACTGTGAAATACTTTATTTTAGCTGGAATTAATTTTCGCTCAAAAGGCATTCTGGGTGTTTTGTATGGAATTTATTTTCACTGATTTTTGACGAGTTGAATGTGAAATATAGGGAAAAAAGTATATTCGCTGGATTTTATTTTCACGGAATCATCCTTTCAGCACAAATAAATTCCAAGCGAAAATAAAGTATTCTACAGTAGTTTGTTTAAATATTCATTGAATGATTTTAGAGCATTGCCTATATAAAAACAACCATACATGAACATTAAAGGACGATGGATGTAACAGCAAGCATACGCAATCAAGATATGGGACTTGTATGAACCAAAGATGGCAACTTTGGGATGTACAAACTGAGATGCTGCTAAGCTTTAGCTTGTTAATTTTTTGGATAATCGGAAGATATCAAAGGAGTCTACATGGTAATTAGTGTTCGTTGCATCACTAATGAGGGTTGGTTTGAAGTGGTTACATAAGAGTAAGTTAACTTACTATAGCTACAATTTGTTTCCATATCTGAATATTCTAAGTAGGTCATGATTTTGTTCTTTAATCACCTTCAAAAATCTGCTATGAAACAACTGTGCATATACAATTCAATTTGTGAGCTACATTTCTTTCTGCCTTCATTAATTTTTGACTCCCGTGTGTGAAGCAAAAAAGGGAGTCTTTGCAGTTAGTGTGTGTGTATGTGTGTCCGTCTGTTCCACTGATATCTCAAGAACCATACATCAGTTTTTGATGAAACTTGGTGCAAACTAATGCGCAGATTTGATTAGTTTTGGGTAAAAATCTGTGCAATAATACGTAATTTGCATGATGATTAATCAATTTTCGGCTTTTCCACTGATATCTGAAGTACTAATCATCACATTTCAATAAAACTTGGTACATAGATGTCATAGGACACTGCAAAAACCTGATAGTTTTTAGGGTAATATCAGTATATATTAATTAGCTAATTTGCATAATTAATTAATTTTCAGCTTTTGATATTTCAAGTAGTAATCATCACATTTCAATGACACTTGGTACATAGATGTCATAGGACACTGCACAGACCTGATA